CGGAATAGCCCGAAATAGTTGTGAGCGGTACTAAACCCCACCCAAATAATCTATCTTAGGTTGATAAAAAATATGTCNCCAAAATTTACAAAAGTGAGTGTTAAAATATTGCGTGGACCCTTGACTACAAGTGTGTGAAATTTTTTTTTGGATCGGGCCACCCATTTGGACGGAATAGCCCGAAATAGTTGTGAGCGGTACTAAACCCCACCCAAATAATCTATCTTAGGTTGATAAAAAATATGTCTTTCTTTAATAAATAAGTTAAATTATATATTTTTATAGTGTTTAAAAAGTGAGAACAGGTGATTTTGTGAATCTTTGTTGGTGTAATTGCTCATAGAAAACAACGAAATTTAACAAAGTTTTTTGTTCATAACTTTTAAATGGTTAAAAATATTAGCCTCCCCTCCGGTTTATTATTAGGGGGGCCGAAGCGCGTCGTTTGGTACCCCTCCCGACTTTTCCGCACCTTTTTTAGGGGTTGTTACCCCACCCTAGAGAATTGCCAAATTGTTTAGAAAATGAGTCATTTATGTATACCATTTTATGTGGAATGATTCAATAAATTTCGTTTTACACTATACATAACTTGGAGTTAATTATTTTTTGTTTCTGAAAAGCAACCCTGCGTGCTTGGGAGGCGTGTGTACCAATAATTTCATCCCTAGAATATTCATCCCCGAGGAAGACAGTCGCCAAATTCACCGAAGGTTGTTTACTGGTTATATTGTGGTGGATATGTTTTTCAAACTGAGTGCAACAGATGGTGCAACATTTTATTTAAATGACTTAAAACAAAAATGGTTAAAATTACACATTACGCCTGATGTTTTCGCATATAATTTAAATGTAACAAAATCCAAGTTCTTACGAGTAAATAATGGTATTTATGTAGAAGTAAGTATTGAAAGGCATTTCTAAAATCCGGTATAGCAATTCAATATCATTACAGTATAATCCAGAACGTACACGGCTGCGGCGCATACCTCAAACCATTGAAAAACTGAGACCTGTATTTGATGAAGAGCAATTTAATTTCAAAAAGATTAATTCGCTTGAGCTACTGATCAGCATACCATATGAAGGCTCTAAAATTTCGTTGATAATCAACAAAAGTCCACTAACGGTGTTCCACACGCTAATCTGCCCAGATGTAGCAGCAGGACTACCTCAATGCTTGACGCCATTGGCATTGAAATTTTGTATTACATTCTTACTTAGCTTGAGAGATGAGGAAAAGTCATTCCGTATTGGATACAACAGTCCCGGAGCACTGGCATCTGTCAACCATCTGCATTTACATCTATTGTACATTACTACTGATCTATACATAGACAAAGCTGTAAACTTAAAAGGTGTTTATAATATGTACTTTTAAATATATGATTTTTTTTTATTTGAAGGAAATGAAAATCTTGAAAGGTGGAAACATTTTCCGCTTAAGCGAAAATATGCCGACGGAGGCGATTTGCTTCCTTTTCAAAAAATGGAATGGCAGTGAACTAACCATGCAATTGCAGGAGCTTTATAATTTCATTATATGGCTTTGTGATCACAATATTCCGCATAATCTATTTATGACCCGTCATCGCAGTCCACTGAAAGATGAAACTCTAAAAGTGTTTGTGTTTACACGGAAATATTTTTGCTATATTAAGGAATTAAATACTTATAATATTGGGTTTTGCGAAATGGCTGGCTACGTAACTGTTGGAGGTAAGAAGATTTTTAATATTACTCTATCTTCGAACTTTTATTAACGCTTTTCTTTTATAGATTTACACTTATATGAAAATCTTACGGAGCGACAGGTGATTTCCAAAATTCAAGATGTAACTGGAAATGTCTACAAACCAATTTACGAGTATTTCGAAAATTAAATGAAATTGAGGTAGGTTCTGCAATTCACTTCCAAGTTTTCGAAAATTAAATGAAATTGAGGTAGGTTCTGCAATTCACTTCCAAGCGAATTTCAGCAACATTTAATTTTAATTCAAAGCGACTAGTTAAAATACACTCGGAAGTGAGTTACAGAACCTGCCCAAATCTGGCAACCACAACAATATTAGATAAGTAGAATTTATCAGGATATCCTAATGGTCTGATTATGCACACTTCGCACAAACTTCAAACTGTAATTTCTTATGTACTTTGCACGTATTTTGTTTGTATTCCATCACCCAAAAATTAGCAGAACATTCAAAAACTTAGCAATCTGTTGAGTTTAGATTTTGCTTCACATTTTCTTAAGTTGCATTTTTTGCCCTGGTGTTGTTGTTTTGGACCTATAAACCATGGATAACTAGAGCTCTGAGAGCGCGCCCAGGAACTCGTTTTCGTACTTGGCGGCACTGCCAATCCCTGGGCAGATAAACACCTGACACGCGAAGTGGCGAGCTACCACTAAATGTGTGGAAAATGCATCACATCGAATTCAGGCGATTTCTTCTTCCCGCATTCTTTAATATTACTAAAAAGCAGTATTTGTAACTAAACGCAATTTTCCTGGCAACATAAACAGTGAAATATAAAATAGATATGAAGAATATTGCAACCTTTGTTCGTTGTGTTTAATGAAAAGTTTCTCCATAATTTTATCTACAAATGCCCATACATGTTTTCGTCACAGTGGCTCTACTGGATAATGTTATAAAAAATATACACTTTGACAGCGCTCTCTCGAGAAAGAGTTTCATATCTAGTTATCCATGCTATAAACATTATAAAAAAATCGCGAAAACACAACAATTAAGAAAATTCACTTATAATGATTTTTACAATCATCCACAGTAATTTTCATTTACATTTTTTGTAAAATTTTATTATTTAAACCCTCGAAAATAACCAAGGCTATCACAGAATTCATCGTAGCTTCGATTTTCGTGAAATTTACGAAAGTGCTATCTTAGAATCCGAATGGCTACGAACGTAAATTCGAAATTCGTAGAGGGCCTTCATTGAATCCGTTCATATTGAAGATTCGTACAGATACTCTACGAGAGATTATG